ATGTGAATCTTGTCTCTAATTTATTGTAAAAAGTAATTACTTACAAATTTTGTACATATTCCATTTATCCTAGAGGGTCAAATATTATGGTTGCATTCTGAATAAACAATATAAAAATAGTCAAAGTTTCTAAAATCTACATAGCAGTACAAATTGTGATTGTTTTAACAGTATCTTTTGCTGCTTCAAGATCTGATAAGTCTACTTTCAAGCATCGTCTTGATATATGAATAGGCCCAAGCATCGTCTTGATATATGACTAGGCCAAATTGTATAAAATTCAAAGCTTCCAATGTTAACCTACTGCATGCATGCTTGCCCTCTTGTGTGCATATGTTCTCTGACCTACTTTTAAACAGTCTGCTTCTGGATTCTAAGTTACTTTGTGAACCTAACTTCACTAATTCCTAGAACAAGTCAAATTCTTTCTAAAGGTATTCTGTCTGTTAAATTAATGTATCAGCCTAACTCATAAAATCATGAAGAATTGACCAGAGAAAAAGGCATGAATGATTAAAATCATTTTCATAATTCATCTAAATTGGGCATATTATATTAGATAATTTAGACACCACCCACCCCCCTTTTTAAATATTATCCAGTGCTTTCTTACTATCTTACCTTTGTTTTACTAGTCAACTTGAAGTGTATGGGAGAATTGGAAAACTTCGTACAATTTTATCTATCCACTTGTGTTTCTCTGGAAATGTAATCTCCACAGATATTTGTTTTTCTTTGATCACATTAACATTTTATCTGATTGCCAGCCCTGTGAAATATGTTGTCACCTACAAATTAAAACTGAAAAATTTAAGTACTAGGTTAAATTAAGCCATAATAATCAGTAAATATAAAACAAAAACAATTTTAAAAGGCAGATTAATTGCCTCTACATTTTTCCTTTTAAGGTTACATTGCACCATGGAGTGGCAGGTTTTATTCCTTGTGGGACACTGGGTAAGTGCCTATAAGTTATTTGCCCTCATTGAAATGCTATTCTCCCCTCTCCCCCCCCCCCCCTCGTTCTTACATTGTCAGCATTACCATTGGTCTTGGGTAACATTTTAAAAGTATCTAACATATACTAGTTTAGTAACTGTTTATTTGAATCTCTTGTATTTTTTCTTTGTTATAATACCTGTTTGGAATGCATCTTTAGTATGCTATACATGACATATATTTCAATTCTGCATGAACAACTCCTTATTTTAGTTTTGTCAAAACATTTCAGTTAACATTTGTGCAATTTTAATTATTGATTTTTATTTTTACCAATGTATTCAAAGTTTCCAACTATTATTATTTACTTTTTAATCATTAAGGCTCATATACCGTAGATGTAAAGAAAAGATTTTAATGTTTTTTAATGCCACACTTAAGTTTCTTGATATTTTATTACATATATTATACTACAAAATATTTGTGTGCTTTTACAAGTGATATTAGAAAATGAAATTGTTTAAAAATTAATTTTAAATTAGACAAGTGGTTCAATAAGATATTTTGTTTTCCTAAGGATGAGAAAATATCTTTTGATTATAATTTATCTGTCTTCTCTGTTCCCACTGTTCTGTCTTCTTTGTTACTCCCTAAATGGCCCAATAAAAAAATCTACCACCGTTTATTGAATGGACCTTCCCATTGCTGTGATACCAGAAGGTCTAATTAAAGGGCATGAGCAAATATACAGTATACTAATGACTGAAACTAACATTTGGACACATAATTGAAGAGATCAGCCAATGGACACCAAAGAGTTTGAGGAAAATCTCTAGTAATTAGATGAATTTTTGTCAGTAATATTTATTCTTACTTCCTATACTTTAATGGACTACTTGGGAATGTCAGGGCATTTCAGGAATAATTTGTCCTGTCCTTTCTATTTGTCTCATTGCCTTGCTAAGAAAAGTATTGTGGCAGTATCATGTCTTATTTCTGCTAGTAAGAGTAAGTCTAAAATGTAATGAGATGTAGGAGGTGCTAGGTTAAAATGCAGAACAATTCCTGTTTTAGCAAAAATTTTTGTATTAAAAGTCAGAGCCAACACTTTCGTAATATAACTAGCCTTAGATAATTCTTCTAATTTTAGGGATGACATATTAGTTTGTTTTATCAATGTGGACCAGATTTATATCTAATACAACAGGTTATGTTGGACTATACTTATGAGTGAGAAGAGATAGAAGATAAAAATCATATCTACAGTCAAAGAAAAATTTTCCATCCAAAAAGATTTTATTTTAATATTAAGTATTAATTTTTTTAAATACCAGGTATGCAAAAATACATATTCCAATTATTGCATCAGTGTCTGAGCATCAACCTACGACTTGGGTGTCTTTCTTCTTTGATCTACATATTCTTGTGTGTACCTTCCCAGCAGGCCTATGGTTCTGCATTAAAAATATCAACGATGAAAGAGTGTTTGGTAAGAGATTTTTAATAAATACTTAGCTTTGGAACAATTATTTTCATTACTGACATCACTTTAAAGTTTTATTCTTTGTATGACTGCATAGTCAAGGTAAATTTCTTGTGTAAATCTTAAGCAAGAAAAACCCAGTGAATTTATATTATATGTATTTTATTAATTTTTAATTTAGGGCTCATATATAACATTTTTATTTCATTTACTACATTTTCTGGGAGTTATAGTCTGTGGCTAAGCATTGCGAATTATAACTTTGCTTACAGTATAGTCTTGATTTAATTTTCTAAGTTAGATCTGATTAAGCAGAAAAAAGTTTGCAGGGGTGACCATCATCGAAATTTCAGTGCAAAGTACATTTTGTAATGGAATAAGAGTCACCTTTAAGTAAACACTTTCTTCACTGATAATTTGTGTAAATTTACAACTAATAAATTGAAAAAAGGCAACATACACAAAAATAATTTGTAGTACCAGACTTGAACTTATACAAGTAATGCGGCTTGGACCGTGAGTGACACTCACTGTACTATTCCAGAATAAAGTCAGGAGGAAAATATAATGCTCTCATGAGTTCTAATCAAAGGATGACACTCATTCTTCTTGTTTATGTAGACCACTCCCTCTGGAAAAGGCCATGTTAATATTGCATTATTCAAAAAGATTTAGCTTAAACATATTGCCCACCTCATGACTCAGCAATCCTAATCCCAAGAGAAGTGAGTGCGTATGTCCAACAAAGGACATGTTTAATAATGCAACTTAATTCATAATTGCTCCTAATTAGAAACATTCCAAAGGTTGTTAGCGGTATAATAGAAAAAGAAATTCTGATGTATTCCCACAAGGGAATGCAATATAGCTATTAATAAAAGAATGGTTTAACCTAAAAAGCCAATACAAAAAAGAACATTTTTATATAATTTAAAAAATAAAGTTCAAGAATAAGAAAATTAATGCTTTAAAAATCAAAATAGTGTTTACTTTTTTTAATTATTATTATAGGCAGGGAGTGGGGGAGAGCAGTTATTAACTGGGAAGAGGTATGAGGATCCTTCTGAGGAGGCTCTATATTTTTATATGGGTGATAACGACATAGGTGTGCACATTTGTAAAATTTATTGAGCTATAGCTATGAACATGGTATAATTTTTTAGTGAGGAAATGAAATTTTAATTAACCTTACTTGAGAATAGGAGTACAAATGACTCATTGACTTTATGAATTCATATAGCCTTCAGCCTGAGATGGTAGAACCTTCCTGGTAGTTAGCATATTATGTGGAAGGCTTTGGTTTTTGGAAAATACTTTAGAGTTTTTTAAAAAGTCTCTCACTAGTAACAAGTTCCTCCTTGGGCTAATAAATTATATTCTCCTCATCCTATTTTTTTACTTTAGACAAGCTTTATGCCAGATATTGGTACTAGCTTTTCAAAGACTTTATTTGATTCTGTAAACTTACTCTGCCTGATAATGTAATTCCTCAAATGTGTTTTCATCCATCAACTGTAGATTTTCTAACATGTGATGATATTGACAATGAATTTGTCTCAGTTCCCATAACTATAATTACTATAATTAAATTTGATACATTTCTCTAAATTGTTGATATATAGTGTCTAGTTAGCATTAGCTATAATTTCTAAATATGACTATTAAATCATTTGGTTGGTATATCAATTTAAAAACAATTAGCTCTTTTATGAGATGTCTGTTTTTAGATTTGGTTTATAATGTGATATTAAATACTTAGTTCAGTCTCCTGCGAACATTTTCTTTTCTGAAGTGTTACAAGAGAGCTTGTCTTTCCAGTTGCTCTGTATGCCATCAGCGCTGTCTACTTTGCTGGAGTGATGGTGCGGCTGATGTTGACTTTGACTCCTGTCGTCTGTATGCTGTCTGCAATTGCCTTCTCTAATGTTTTTGAGCACTATTTGGGGGATGACATGAAAAGGGAAAACCCACCTGTGGAGGACAGCAGTGATGAGGATGACAAAAGAAATCCAGGAAATTTGTATGATAAGGTGGGGAATCTAAAGTAAGACCTTTAAAAATTTTATGTGCTTTATTTTTCTACCACAGTAAGAACTATTAATATTAAGAAACGTGATTAAACAGGATTTAGACAAACTGACATTTTCAGTTGGTCTCTACTGTTTGCCTAAAACTTTGAATCCTGCTTGGTCTTTTAGGTAAGAATAAGAAAATAGAATGTAACCAGAGTAGGAATTCTCATTCATTTTGGTCAGGTTCTATCCAAAATCCCTCTCTTTTTTTAAAGCAAAAACCTAGTGCTCTACTAAATTACAATATATAACATTGAACATTATTAAACCCCATTGAAACCATGTGCACAAACGCTTGTCTTTGAGGTCCCTGTTCAGTGTAAACTTAAAATTTATTTCTTTATTTTTTATTTATTTATTTTTGGTATACTAGATGACGCTCCAACAAACCGAGACACGTAGCCAGGGCATGTAATTTACTTTTCCTTTTGATCTGTCAAGTTAAGTAAAGAGTAAGGTCATATTTGGTGCAAATGTGGAAAAGACTCGTAAGAATTAGAGCACTAATACTTACCTGGCAGGGGAGGTACCATGATCAGGAAGGTGGTTTTCCCAGGGCAAGGCTTATCCACTGTATTCTGGATGTGCTGACCCTTGCAATTCCCCCCAATGTGGGAAACGTGACTGCATAATTTGTGGTAATGGGGGACTGTGTTCCCATACTTCCCTGAAGGAAAAAAAGAGAGAACGCGCTTGTCTTGGATTACATACTAAACTTCATTTGAATATTAACTAGGTTTTTAAATTCCAATAAGCAATGAAACTTTCCAAAATAAGTATTAACTTTGAAAACCTTGCCTTACTACTAAATAGGACCAATATAATTAATACAGATTTGTTTTAATATAGCACATACCTACTTTTGTGTTTGCAGTTATATTTTATTTTGTGGATTCTTAACTAGCCTAGCAGTTTAGAACTTATGACTGTTCAGTTTTCTGTTCTGGTTTTTTGTGGTTGTCTGTTGTTGTAGTTTTTAAAAATATTATCTTAATTTTAATATGTCTGTTTTGGGATTTGGAAATTGGAAGATTGATTCTGATGATGCATTTTTTGTCCTATACTAAAGTTCTACATAGTCCAGATTATAGCTGGACAGTCGTTTTTAGGATGAGGAATTTGAGTTTTATAAAAACTTGCCAGAATGAGACTATTTGGTTATCTCTTTTGTACATACATAAAACATAAGGATACTATGTTTGAAAGCAGCTTCCTAGTGGAGATATTTTGGTCTGTGACCAGCTCCTGGGTTGGGTATAGTTTTAGGAAACCACCTCAATCACATTTAATTTGAGAATCAACTGCTGATTTTTAGAAAACTTATCACTCACACAAGAAACCTGATGGTTATACATTTTTTTTCCCTCGAAGGATTACATTGACATGTTAATATTCTCCTAACTTTTCTTGAATGTCTCAATGAAACCAGTTAAATGATGAATTTGTCTAACCAGTTTTTTGTATCTTCAGGCAGGTAAAGTGAGGAAACATGTAACTGAACAGGAAAAAACTGAAGAGGGACTAGGTCCTAATATAAAAAGCATTGTCACCATGTTGATGCTGATGCTATTGATGATGTTTGCAGTCCACTGTACCTGGGTCACAAGCAATGCCTATTCTAGTCCAAGTGTGGTCCTGGCCTCTTACAATCATGATGGGTAAGAAAATAGCTTCAAAAGGATTTTATACCTATCCTTTTTTTTTTCTGTCTCAGTGGTTAAGAATTTAAAAAATATAATGTTTGTGAGGCTCTGCATTTGAATCTACCATGTTTTTCTTAGAGCCTTTCTCTCCCACCCCATATGGGTGGTAATCATTGTATTTCATGCTCTTGTCCAGAATGTCTTTGCATTCACAACATGTATATTAGTTTTTCTCTAAATGTGGTCCTTGGACATACAATGAGTTCTCACTTATCATAGATAAGCTCTGTGACAAGACAAAACAACATATAATGAAACCAACTTTACCACAGGCTAAGTGAAAAAGAGTTCAATTCCTATAACGTTGATGAGACACGATAACATAAGGATTGTTATTCAAGGACTTGCTATACAGCAACATCATTACCAGGAAGCCTGTTAGAAATGCAAATTCTTGACCCCATGTGGAGCTCAGCAGTCTGATTTAATAAGCCCTCTAGGTGATGATGATGCAGCTGAAATTGAAGAAATCATTTATATATTGCCACCCCAGCTTCTGCTTCATTTGGGTGCTTGTTAGGCTTGCAAAATATCAGGCCCCACTCCAGAACTACTAATTCAGAATCTGTTCTTTTAACAAGATACCCAGGAGATTTGCATGCATATTAAAGTTTAAAAAGCATTAGCTCTTCATTGATATCCTCCCCAACCTCCCTTTTTTTAGGCTTTTAAAAGCCGTCCTTAAAATGTGAGATTAATTCAATGGTTGAACACCTCAAGATTTTAAGTTACTCTCTTCACATTTATAATATCTCATTTAAAAGAATATTGTGATTTTTTCCCCCCCCCAGCACCAGGAATATCTTAGATGATTTTAGAGAAGCTTACTTTTGGCTAAGGCAAAATACAGATGAACATGCCCGAGTGATGTCTTGGTGGGATTATGGCTACCAGATAGCTGGAATGGCTAATAGAACTACTTTGGTGGATAATAATACCTGGAATAACAGCCACATAGCACTGGTAAGAATTCAATAAACAACAGATCAAAGTTATAAATTTTTATTACTTAGCAATTAGGCACCTCTTGTAATTAAGAAGGATAAATGTAGATGAATGTTCTCTTTGCATGCAGAATTTTCAAAATTTCTCTTTATACAATTCATTCCATAAAGTGAGTTCAGGTTATGCATATTTACTTATCTAAGTATCATTCAGAATTGTAAGCTGATTTCTGGTAGATCTCATGATATCTCATGATGAGAATTAGGCAAAATCTGAAACTTTTTTTTATTTTTTCCAACACCAAAAATCTGAAACTTTTAAAACACTAAATTTGACTTATATTTTCCATTTTATAAATTAAGATAATTATTTGCAAATATGGAAAACAAATGCACTGTATTCAGGGACTGTTTACTCTGTTAACTAATTTGCATAAATTCAGGTAATCACATCTCTGTTTTTAAAAGATTTTAAATCAAGAGTGGATAGTAACCAAATCAGTTTTACTTGTACTAATGTTGTAGCTAATTATCAGATGTCTGGTAGACTGAGGAGAAGAATATATTTGTTATGGCTAGATTGCTAATCATACCTGGCTTTGAGGTAATGAGAAGTCCTATTTCTTTTAAGCTTGCCTGCTTTTGTACTAAAATGTTAATTTCATGAAATAATTAGCAAAATACTAAAACATTATTCTGATTTTGACATATCTGCTATACCTGCTTATAGTGTGTAGGTGCTTCTGAATCTCAGTAAATTTGTTGAATTCATAGCAAATCATTTCTATAAAAAGAATTCCATGTAAATCAGATTCCTGAGGTACATACATTCCTTCTTAAGGTAAAAATGTACATTTATTTCTTTTTTAGCATATTATGGGGATAAGTGTACACATTCTCATTTTTTTCTGTAGGTGGGAAAAGCTATGTCTTCAAATGAAACAGCAGCCTATAAAATCATGAGGAGTCTGGATGTAGATTATGTTTTGGTAATTTTTGGAGGGGTTATTGGCTATTCTGGTGATGACATCAACAAGTTCCTGTGGATGGTTAGGATAGCTGAAGGGGAACATCCAAAAGACATTCGGGTAAGAAATGGTTAGTTCAAGTATTTTAAAACAGCTCACGGCTCCATGTAATTCTTTTATCTTGCTAATTGCATCGTATTTGTTTTCATTATTTTATTCCCCACATTAGACTCTTCACTCTGTATTTACTATTAAGATACTTTAAGCATTTTCCCAATTTTAAATCTTTAGAAATTTGTACTTGATATTTCTGTTCTCCAAAGCTATCTTTTGTCAAGACTTTTTGCTTTGACTCCTTCACAGCCTTTGCAATTCTGCCCTTTCTTTCCGTTTCCATTGTTTCCACTCTGTTACTGATCCTTATGATCATAAACCTGAAATAGAACAGTGACCTTAAAATTACTCTCCACCGCTTGTGTCTACAGACACTTATGGCGTACAGATGATTAAATGATGAAGGCCCAAAACATGTAAGACTCACCACTGATCCAGAATAAAAGAACCTTTGGGAGAATTTATGTATGTGTGTCATGTAAAGCCTCACATTTCTGCCAGGACCGGTTTGGCTCAATGGATAGAGCGTCCGCTTGGGGCTGAAAGGTCCCAGGTTCGATTCCGGTCAAGGTCATGTACCTTGGTTGCGGGCATATCCCCAGTAGGGGGTGTGCAAGAGGCAGCTGATTGATGACTCTCTCTCATCGATGTTTCTGACTCTCTCTCTCTCTCTCTCCCTTCCTCTCTGTACAAAATCAATAAAATATATATATATTTTTTTAAAAAGCTTCACATTTCCTATTCAAATGTAAATGCTGTGACATTTTCCCTAAACTGTGATTAATAAATATTTCCTTCTAGTACACTAATTTTGATTTAATTTTTCAGTATGTGATATTCATTTGTATTTCCTTTAGCAGTGTTAAAATTATGACGTGATGGATCCAGATATATGCTTTGAACATTTATATATTCCAAATTTCTGTGCTTTTTATATGCAGTATTTTTAAAGTTTGAGTAGGTAATCCAGTCACATGATTCAAAAGTAAAATGTAAAGTGTTATACAGTATAACTTTACCAACCTCCACAGCTCCCCCTGAAAAGAAAAATAAACCCATGCCAATCACTTACTATTTTTTTATGCTTCTTATTCAAGCAGATATAGTAGCAAAATATACACCCTGATTTTTATAAAAAATATATCTTAGCAATTTTTCTATATTAGAATATGGAGAGCTGTTTGTTTGTTTTCACTTTGACACAGTGTATTCCATTGTGTATATGTATTCATGATTTATTTAACTTGTCCCTATTGATGGACATTTAGGTTGTTTCCAGTTTTTAGTCTCATAAACAGTGGTACAGTAAGTAACTTTTATACTCATTACTTTGCCTATGTACAAGTGTTTTATAGGGTAAATTTCTAGACTAGAAATTTCTATTTATAATGCCAAATTGGCCTTTGTAAAGGTTATGCTATAAATTTTATGAGATCCCAATAAAATTACTATAGGAGTTTTTTAAACTCATTTTCAGTTTCCCCAACCCCCAGCTAAAGAACTGACTTTAGAGTTCATAATAGGAAAATAAAGATCAATTAAAATAAACTGAAAATGAGTAATGGGGGTGAGGATGGGGCATTTGGAGAGAGTGAATTTACCTGGTATTAAAACCATGGTGTTGGTACCATTCTTTTGAATTATGGAGGTTTTTATATCATGGTTATAATCTGGTAGGATTAATTGCCTTTCCTTCCTCCAACAAATAGTATTGTTCTTTTTCTGTGTTTTCTTAGATAATCTCGTTTATTTTTTAGACTCAGCTTTTAAAAACTCATAATAATTTTGGAGTTTTTTTTAGGGGTCACATTAAATTTATAAATTAATCCTCTGATAGAATATTTTTTTGGTATGTAACTTAATATGGTTTTCTGAATATACCCTAAAAGCTGATTTATGGGGAAATAGAGGGACTTGTAAATTTAACTGACATAAATTTTT